CGGAAAAACAATTCGGCGCGCAGTTAGAAAAAGACTACAATATGATATATATGCAAGTACATATATAGTATATATTAGTAATTCAAGATTGAATTATTTAAAAAGCAACGAAGATCCCGCTTCGACCGTAATAGGCAGTTAAATTTTTAGTATTGATTGAGTTTCTCAAATATACGGTTTAAAAATATAAATATATTGTTTTGACTATGAATACCAGCCTGTTTCGCGTTTCACAGTTGTAGCCCTTGAACCTTTTTTCAGCAATTTTGCACTATTAAGAATTCATTTTTACGTAAAAATGAAAATGAGAGGTACAACCGCCTATAACTTTGATCTTGACAAATGTTATTTAGGACATTATTCTGAACAATATTCAAGAGGTTTTAGCCATCGATCGGACACCTTGCGTAACGCTAATGCCTGCGATACTATAACTTTCGAACCCTATAACTCAAAAAGTACTCAATGAAAAATAACTTTATTATAGTGTTTTGAAAAGATCTTGACATCGGATATTAGTTACTGAAATAATAAGTTGGGTGTTCTATTAAAAAAAATCGACGTGACCTTGACCTGTCTTTGGCGACGCCACCTAAGGTCAAACTGATAAGATCAGTAAATAGATCTCTTTAAACTCTACAATTTTTGTCTGAACACTTTTACGATTGAATCTTATCCTGCGAAGATAAAAGGACTGTATGGGTGGTCTGAAACACCCAGTATATATTACTTAGATTACCTCAAATTATTGATAAAAATAGTTTTAGTAAATGCGTTTTCGCGCGTAAAAATAATACACAATCAGCGAGTGCTGCGATCTGTACGATAATGTCTTGGTCGGTTCAAAACAACAGGATCGGTAAAGCAGGTTTAAATGTCTCGGTAATATAAAATAGGTAATTGTTGAATTTAGTCTCCTCACCTCCGATGTTGATAAAAGTAGGCTCATTCGACGCGTTTTGCACGAAATAAACAAATTTGACAAAAGAAGTGTCGCTCTGCCCCGTGAACCGAGGTATTAATCGTTAAAATTGATGACTATTCAGGTTAAGCCGTAATCACACTAGCGATTGCCGATTAAATTGAGATTGCGATTGGCGATTGACAATTACTTTTCAACCAATCAAAGCAAAGCAGTAACTGATTGAGATCCGATTAAGATTAGTGACTGCCGTTTAGACAA